TGCCTGCTTATCTCTTTTGCTACCTTGCAGATCAGCATCAACCAGAGAAAATTTAATGTGCCCTCTAAACCCATTACCCATAGTGCGCCATTTCTTGTGAGCCAACCTCCAGTTTCCTCATGCTAACAGTCTCCAAGCAGAGCACATCCGGAGCCTTCCCTTTACTATAAAACTTCCCACTTCCATGCCTGCATGTGAATCTCTGCTTAAAGCAGTTTATGGTGATCGACTTATTTCCTACAGTAAGTCCTGAATAACAACTTCTGTTTGTTCTCATTTGGGTGGCTTTGTTTATTTCCATATCATAGCAACAAGAATAAAGCAAGGAAAAAAATCTATAAATAGGATTATTGTTCTTACTCTTTGATGTAACAATGTAGGGTCAGAATATTTTAAAGTATACCATACAAGAGGCTGGATTTGACATTGGTACAATGTACATTCTTGTAAGTGTAGCCATCAGTGCAGCCTTCTCCTGCACTCTAAAATCTTTTACTCCCTTGAAACCTGATTCCCCAATACCAGTCCACTGATTCTTCTACTTTTTCTATTTCCATAACAAAGATATGCAGCAAAGTTGGAAAGAATAAAAACCTGTCCTAACAAACATAACCCTGTACCAAACAGGTACACTATGTGAAATATCAGTACACTATGTGAAGTATCTCTTATGATTTTCATAATGACCATTAAGTCATCAGTCAATAAATATTTCTTGAGGATATACTTTGTGCTAGACACATTGCTAATTCTTGACTATGTTAAATAGTGGAAAGGAGGCCATATTTCCCCAACCAAGAATATTTGTACTCTAAGGAGATGGCTCTTTTTTAAAAGTACACATTGATATATAATTGCACACTTTGATACAAGGCAAAAACAAAAAAGGTGCAGGGCACTATAAGGAAGTTAAATTTTCTTAGAGACTTGGGGGATGCCTGTCTAAGGAAGTGATATTGAATGATGAGACAGTCCTGCCAAGATGAGTAGGATTTCTCCAGGCAAAGAGGGTAGGAATCAATATTCCATGATGAAAAAAAAAAAAAAAACCCATTGTCAAAATATTGGGAAACTTTGTTCCTGTTGGGAAATGGGAAAAGGCCAGTGTAGCTGGAACATAGACAGTTCTGAGAAGGTAATGGAGTACAGGCAAGTCATATTGGATTTTACTCAAAGACAATGGGAACCCATTAAAGGGTTTACAAAGAAAAACTGTCAGTTTGTTTTGACAAACATCTGTCTTCCTTCTGTGTTTTGGGGAATAGGTTTTAAAAAAGAAGAGAACAGAGAGACTTATAGAATTTCAATGTATTTTTTCAGGTAAACTTACTCTGGATAGGATTGTGACACTGGATATGGTGAGAAATAGACAGATTCTAAGCACATTTTGAAAGTAGAATACACAATATGGTCTTTGGATTGCCAGAATAATTCAAATAGGGTAAACTACTTATTCTTGTATTCCTTTTCCTGTTTTTGAGCACTCAATACCAGGCTGTTAAATAAGAAAAGTGTCTATAGATGTGACTGGCTATGTATAAGGTGATCTTTCTGGATCACAGCTAATTGGGTGGGGTTCCAGCCAATGCTTCTGTCAAGATACAATGAAAGTGTTTGTTTTGACCTGTGGCCACTATGCAGGTGGAAAGGGTGTTCATTATAGCATCTTAACTCCAGGCTCAGTTCTTTGATCCTGTCCAAATTCTCTTTGCTCATTGGAAACATATGTGTTCTTTTCTGGCTTATCTGCTCCAGAGTTATAAACATTAGAAGCATTGATTTTTTTCCTATTAAGTATTTTAATCTTATGTTTCATATTTCAGAAAATGTTTAAAAATTATTATTTAATAACGAGCAAACAAGATACTTTTCTAATACTTATACTGCCTAATCCTATAATTTTATAATCCTATTTACTATTAGAAGGTTTTCTCCACTAGAATATGACTTTCACACGTGGGGCCATAAAATAGTTCTTCATTACATATCTGTAAGAGGATTAAATGAATAAGTGAATTGTGTTGATCAAAGATGACCTGACCAAGAAAGAACAAAACAAACCCATGAATAGATCTGAGAAGTAATAGATTTCATTGTTGATTTTCCCCACATGCACTTTCAGATGGTTTAAGGGACAGTGATATTCTTATTTCATTCACACTTTTTTTTTTTTTTGAGTTGTGGGATTTGAAACAGAGAAGTTGGATAAAAGGATGAGGCTTACCCACTCAGTTGTGGTAAGATCAGAATTGTATCAAATCTTCTAGATCATCATCTTTTTGGCTCTTCTAAAGTATGACCTCTATCAAGGTAAGAACTCTGTCTTTTTCATATGTAGGTTTGCAACTATAGTTTTCATGAAAAAGTGAGTCAAATCAACAAGATTCACAGTTTCCATGACTGCTATCAGAGATACTGTGTTTTAGAGAGATTGAGAATTGTGTCCATAAATAGTAAATGATAGAGTAAGGATGTGAACCCAATTCTGTCTGAATCTAAACCTTGAACTCTTAACCATTCCACTAAATTAAAAAAAAAATGAACTAGCTATCTAGCAACACTTTATCCCTACTAAAGTCAAATGTAAGTCTGTCAAAAAGATGGTTTCCATTATTCTTATGATCTGAAGAACCTTTAAACCTATCTTTCTTCTCACTGATGACTTCAAATACTAATTTTTGAGAATACTGAAAATTTCTGATGTGAAGTCTTTTAGTTTTCCTTTATTTCTAATTTAGCTAAACCCATCTTAAGAAACTCCTTTGTATTTTCGGGGGATGACTTGTGCCAATTTCTTTCTACTGCTTTATCTACCACTTACTAATTTCTTTTTGATTTATACCTATGTTGCAAGTATCTTCCCCTTTCTCCATCTGCTCTTTCATTTCTCCTTAAAAATAAAATCTTGATGCTTTGTTAATCATTGAATTAACAATATCACTGAAGGTTCAGTTAATGTCTCCTATCACTGATTATTCATATCTTCCATCTACTTGAATAATTTTAAATTCATGGCCTCATGGTACAGTTATTTCAAGTTATACTATCTTCCCAAGAAGCCCTTAGACCTCCACACCATTATCTCCTTAAGATTACATAGTATAAAAACACATTGCAAACATCTCAACATTTCATTCATGTTATGACTCAAAGTTAGCGTTTTTGCTCTTATATTGTGCATATGTGTATATGCATGTGTGCATTTACATAAAATGATTTGAGTCAAACCCTATGTAATATCTTTACCCATATTACCCTTTTCTGAAATGAAACAATCACTACCAATTAATAATTCTCCATTTTTCAAAGACTAATTCTAAGTACCTCATCAACAATGACTCTAAATTATTGCATCTTTTGTCAGAAATATTAATTCACTTCTCTTTTCAAAGTTTAAGCACATACCTTTCTTTCTATTGTATTTATTCAAACATACACACTATCTGTTAACTCTATATCCTTTGAGAAAATGTACTCTGCATAATTAATTTAGCAAGGCAAAATATCAGAGGTGAATATAAGCTACTTATGAAAATTTCATGACAGCATGAATAACTCACACTGATTTACCTCAATTATCAGTATGGCAGACTATTTGCACACACTTTGCAACCATTATATATAGTTTTTTTTCTATAAGTTACATTGAGGCATAGGAAAAAAACCTTCTGCAATGCTTTCTTTATTTTCAATCCAAGAAAGGACTGTCTCCATTATATGAAAAGCATTCCTATTTTTATGCTGTAATGTTGAAATATGAATAATTGTCAAAGCTCATTCCAGTGACTGGATGTTTCAAAAGTAAGGTAAAATAATATCTCCAGAAAACAGTGAGGAAAAGTTCTTGAGAGCTGGCTGAACACTACAATTATCAGCTACAGTCTTGGATACAAACTAATGTTCTGATCTTGGAAGAAAGGTAATTCTGAAGGGATTGCCTCATGCGTATTTGGGTTCCAGTTTCTTATGAAACATTCCTGAATTTTCATAATTTTTACAAAGAGTACAGTCCGAAGTTCAGAGGGAGGGGCTAACATGCCCATCGCCATGACTCATCCCTGTTCATGATGCACTTATGCCTGTCTTCATGACGTTATGGAAAACATTTTTTTTTCTTTTTCCTGGCTAACCTGAAGAAACATTCAAGTGTGCTGTTACCTGTCAGGCTAAAAGAGCCATTTTGATGACTTAACTTCTTTCTGTAGCAGAAACTGAAGTTACTCAATAAAGTTAAATATCAATGAGATACATCTACAAATAGACTTTTTCTTTCTTCATCGTGTGTTTCATGTGCACCTATGGATAATGTTCTATATGCAATTGCTAGATGAAATATATTTTACTGCCTTTAAGACATTCTTATAAAAGTGTCTATTTGTAATTTTCAATGAACCTACTAGAAAAATATATAACTGTACACATTATAAATATCAGTAAATCTACACTGAAGCATTCTTAAGGTAAGCACATATCTAAATTCTAAATGCCTTGCCTATGCTGTGCGCCACCCCCTAGATATAGAATTAAGTCACGTGTTTCAATGTGGCATTTTCATTTAAGTCCATACTTAATTTATGTACATTAACTTAGATGTTTCACTTAAATTTAACTCAGCAATGGAAGTATACATTTGTATTTCATTCTTTTTTATGGCTTGCTCCAAGTAGGATAGTCTATGCAAGCACAAGTGATTACAACCTGCATTTATAAAGACTCATATTGAACCAAATTTTTATAACTACTTTATTAAATCATATACACTTCAAATTGTATGAGATTCTATGCCAAAAAACCTGATGTGAAAATAAAAAATTCCAGTTGTCTTAAGACAATTTAATTACTTTAGTTGTCAATTATTATATTTGATATAATAAATATTCATGTCTTAGAGTTACTTTGTAAAATTAAATGTCAATGTAATGCATCTACAACAAAGATTTTTCATTCTTCATTATGTCTTATTTCACAATTAAAGCAAACAAGCTGACTGAGACAAGTACCTTTTCTAGACCTTCTTCTTTGAGACTGATCACATCCAAATCAAAGTCTGTTCGTAAGCCATTGGTTTTGTTGAAAGTAATTCTGCCTGTGAGGCCTTCCCAATGAGCCTATGGGACAAAAAATAAGAACCCACAAATTAATAAGTAAAGAAGTAGGAGATAAAAATGTCTTTTCTACAAACACTAGGAAAACTTCATAAATGTATATTGTGTTAGATTTTTAAACACTTTTATTTTCTTCTGAAATTTGAACAGTATGTTTTCTAAATAATATCTTAGTTTTATCTTGAAACATATTGTAAATTTTCCCTTTATATAATTTATTTTTCCAATTTTGGTTCTAAGAGAAATTTGTTGATCATCTTTTAAATAGTCAACCTTTTTTGACAGTCAAAAGAACTTAGTCACTTATATGACATACTGAATATCTTTCGGCATATTATACATAGAGCAGTTATAAAATACCACCCCCTGAAATCATAATAATATAAAAGAAGCTTATTTTTCTGAAAGAAGTTGAATTCATGTTTTACTTCTTCAAGTACACAATTTCCCCCAGAACAATTAATTTATTACTTTATCTTTCCCTAAGATAGGGAAGAACGTATTACAATTATTTCATATCAAGCTATACTTCCTATGTAAGGTGCTGTCCATGTAGGCCAAGGTAGGTAATTAATAATCTACCCATATAAAGTGTTCACCTTTTCAAGATGAGTAAATATCTGGGATTTTGTTTTTAAATATAAAGTTTTTCCATATTTATGGTTACATAACTAAAATTAGATGTTTTCCATTATTTGTTATTTAGAAATAGTTTGGAAGGAAATAGTTACATGAAACTTCTAAATGATGCAATGTAAACTCACAACTATAACGTTTGAAATGAGATACACCTGGACCCAAAAGAGGTAAATCCCAAAGATTAAGTGTACCTCAATAATGTTTACAAACAAATATTGTTATCACAATGTTTCTTAGCTTCTATGTTTGTTTCTCAGCTACTATGTGCAGGATTCCAAACTAGTTTTAAGATAATAAATTCTAAATGAAATAGAAAACATTATAATTACCTCAATGCATATTACAATATGTGTTCAGTAATGTTAAACATGTGTTAACTGCTTCAGGAGGAAAAATATTTTTTTATTCAACTTCTTCCAAAGAAAAAAATTCAGGTAGTTAGCAAAAAGTATAAGAGTATAAAAACACAACAGAATCAAGAAGTTCAAAAATAGAAGTGAAGAAGAGTAAAACAAATATGGTACAGATCACAAAAAATGCACACCAGGTGAAACTCTACAAGTAATAAAGTTCTATCAAAATTCAATTTTTAACTTCCTGGCAACAAAACAGAGAAGGAAAAATGGTGAAAACACAATATGCAGTTCCATAGTTGGAGACATACCAGCTGCTCAGGAGAGACAGCTTCTCCCAGCACTGAGACTTGAAAGAAATTTCTCCTGTTGATCCTTATAAGGGGACACTCTGTGATTTAGTGGACAAGATTCTCAATTACACCCTACAATAAATACAATGGGGGAATGTTATACAGCTATCTCTCTTAGGGGTGCTTGACCATGTCATGGTCTCCCTGTTCAAGTGCTGAGTTCAGAAAAATCAATTTTTCAACTACTAGAACCTGTGACCTACGTTTACAGCTCTGTGATGCTCAGTTTTCAAGTCAATGTAGAGTGTGGAGCAGCTAATAAACTTCATATTCCTCAAGGAGTACTAATTCACCTATCTGAGAGTTTGGTAAGAATTAGATAAGGAAAACTAGTGGATGTTCTTTTCCAAGTATTAGAAATTCTTATTGATGATCTTATTTGCACTTTTATTTACATGATGAAAATATATTATAAAGTGAACTAGTGATTTACTTTAAGCCAATAAAGAAAAATCTCACAAGGTAATAATACCTGTGATTTAAGCTCATTTAAATTTTGAACGTCTATGAAAACTATGCTAAGATATGAAAGGACTTTCTTTCATGATAGGAAGAAAAAGAAGAGAAAGAACAAAATATATGTATATGCGCAGGTATATAAAAGCTTCAAGAATTTTACAGGCTTGCTTGGTCTATAAATATAACAGATATAATAAAAATGAGACATGATCATAAAAATGATTGCTTTACTCAATTTGAAGTAAATTATACACTTCTGTGAATCTATATGTTCTTTTTTACATAAACTGTTAACATAAGTTAACTAGACATTTGATCTAAAAAACTGCCTCACAAATTAGGTATTATTTTGGTGTTATAAAATGACATCCATGTTAAAATATATTTTATAAAATAAATAAAATGCATTTTATATTTTCTTGTCTACAATATAAGCATTCTTTAACCATCTATGGGTCTATCTCTATATAAGCATCTACATTGCTATATAAACTAATACACATACGGTTATAAAAGTAAAAGCTAACAATATCATAAATCAAGTTTTCATGGGTCGCAGACTTTCATAAGTCTACACCACCATAGATATTTTGATGGACAGTCCATTAATTTGTAATTTGTTTATGATAAATTTTGTTTCATATTATTTAGTCAAAATATTAATTTGGGGAGAAGAGAGAAATTTTAATTTGAAAAATAAAATTAAAAAGTCATTTGGTATGAGAACTGCAAAAATCTCACTTCATTTAGCTTGAGGACCAAAGCAAGGAGGCAGCTCTCTCCTGTGACTTACCTCTTTAATTAAGCTCATGAACCGGGTCCCGAAGCGCCAAGGTTTGTGTCGATTACACTGCAAAGAACTGACTGTCATCTGGGGAAACTGTTGGACAGCCACAGACACAATGTGCACAGCATCATACATTAAAGCAGCATCCGTCTGAAAGCCGAGGGAAAGAACAAACATATTCAGTATGCATGTGGAACCTGGGCAGGTAGCTTGAAAGAATAGAGAATGATGGGGTGAGATCAGATCCAGTCTTTCTTTACATTAAAAGGAAAACATCTCCAGCATGTTGTGGTTCTCTGTCAAGTAAGACATTGTTATCAAATTGCTATATTAACTCCATTAGAACATTTGGTCCACCCAGCCTTTCTTTTCTAAAATGATTACCTAAGTAAGTGTACATTGTTTGAGTTATCCCTGTTGTAGTTGAAAATGTGTGAAGATATTTTTTCAATTTACCTTTTTTTATTCACTACATATCTATCTTATTTTGTCTTACTATACACACACACACAAAATGAACATATTGAATGATTGCATAATTCACATACATAAACAGAAGTAAATAAATAAATGCTTCCCTCATATAGGAGGAAGAAAAAATATTTTAAAGGAAATTCAACCAAAGGCCTTAAAAATATAAACCCTGATCTTTCTTCAATATAATTTTTCAAATATTCACTCTAGAAATGATGCTACAGTTTTGAATCTCAAAGCATGCATTAATCCCTTTTCAAAAAAGTAAGCTTAATCCCTTGTGCTGTTTCTTTTCTCAAAATTTCCATATCAATAAAAGTTCATTTGGCTTCTCAAGTGAAATGAATATGAATTCTACAGTGTTGCACCTGCTCAAATGACCAACCTCTTTCGAGGCTGATGATAAAAAATAAAACGTTTACAAGTCATAACAAACCAGAAGGTCAGTGACCGTTAAGTGCTGTGTTAAGAGAACCCTCACTTTGTGTTTGACAGATTGGTGTGAAGTTCAGTCAGTACCGTACAGAAGAGGTCATTCTGACAGGGCTAGTGGCAGTGAACTTTGAGCCATCTGTTTGGAATGCTTTACAATAAAAACATATATTTCCTTTTCTCATTCACATAATTAGTGAGCTGTGAAATGAACTCTAAAAGGAATAGGAACCCTGTAGATTACAGTGTTTGCCGCAACACAATACAAAATGAGTGCACAGGGAAGTTTTCATGCAAATGGGTCCTAAGGAGCTTTGCCACTGAAATGCAAGATGGCTAAAAAGCACAAAGCAATGATCGAACAAAACAACACCACTTTATAGTTCATAAATTTTTTAAAAATCCAAACTCGTACTCATACATACCAGCTTTAAAAGTATTCATTTTCTAAACACTAGCCGACTAATTTCGCATTCCCAGGTAACACATAGTGAAATCTGGAATTGTAGAGTTAATACAGGCATATACCATGAATCTGAGATATGGACTTATAGTTGTCTTTGGCCTGAGTGTTTCAAAAAACATATTTCACATATCAAAAAAGTAATCACAAAACAGCTACCAAAATGTGAAAGATGCATTTTGATTTCAAAGTAAAATGAATCTTTAAAATATATACCATTAACAAAGGTATAGAAAAATGAACTCTTTCTGACACTACTAAAAGGAAGATGAAGGGCAGTTTTGCAATATCACTGAAAAGAATTTTAAAAAATCCATGTTCTTTCTAATCTAATATTGCTTTTGGTGAAATCTGTCCTAAGAATAACAGAGATAAGAACAAAGGCTACACACTTTCATATATATATATATAAAATATATATATATTGTTTTATTATTCATATGTGCATACAACACGGGTCATTTCTCCCTCCTGCCCCCAACCCCTCCATTACCACCCACTCCACCCCTTCCCTCTCTCCCCTACCCCCTCAATACCCAGCAGAAACTATTTTGCCCTTATCTCTAATTTTGTTGAAGAGAGAGTATAAGCAATAATAGGAAGGAACAAGGGTTTTTGCTAGTTGAGATAAGGATAGCTATACAGGGAGTTGACTCACATTGATTTCCTGTGCATGTGTGTTACCTTCTAGGTTAATTCTTCTTGATCTAACCTTTTCTCTAGTTCCTGGTCCCCTTCTCCTATTGGCCTCAGTTGCTTTTAAGGTATCTGCTTTAGTTTCTCTGCGTTAAGGGCAACAAATGCTAGCTAATTTTTAAGGTGTCTTACCTATCCTCATACCTCCCTTGTGTGCTAAAGCTTTTATCATGTGCTCAAAGTCCAATCCCCTTGTTGTGTTTGCCCTTGATCTAATGTCCACATATGAGGGAGAACATACGATTTTTGGTTTTTTGAGCCAGGCTAACCTCACCCGGAATGATGTTCTCCAATTCCATCCATTTACCAGCGAATGATAACATTTCGTTCTTCCCGGCTGCATAAAATTCCATTGTGTATAGATACCACATTTTCTTGATCCATTTGTCAGTAGTGGGGCATCTTGGCTGTTTCCATAACTTGGCTATTGTGAATAGTGCCACAATAAACATGGGTGTGCAGGTGCCTCTGGAGTAACCTGTGTCACAGTCTTTTGGGTATATCCCCAAGAGTGGTATTGCTGGATCAAATGGTAGATCAATGTTTAGCTTTTTAAGTGGCCTCCAAATTTTTTTCCAGAGTGGTTGTACTAGTTTACATTCCCACCAACAGTGTAAGAGGGTTCCTTTTTCCCCGCGTCCTCGCCAACACCTGGTGGTGTTGCTAATGATGGCTGTTCTAACAGGGTGAGGTGGAATCTTAGTGTGGTTTTAATTTGCATTTCCTTTATTGCTAGAGGTGGTGAGCATTTTTTTATGGGTTTTTTGGCCATTTGAATGTCTTCTTTTGAGAAAGTTCTGTTTAGTTCACTTGCCCATTTCTTTATTGGTTCATTAGTTTGGGGAAAATTTAGTTATTTAAATTCCCTATATATTCTGGTTATCAGACCTTTGTCTGATATGTAGCTGGTAAATATTTTCTCCCACTCTGTACACACATTATTGTTTAAAGTCTTGCTTTTAAAACTTGAAATCATACTAAATACAGTTTTTGGTTCACATTGTTATAAAAACTAGAAATGAATAATGACAAATATCTGGAAACTATGCAAACACATGGAAATTAAACAACTCACTCCTGTATAGCCAATAGACCAAGGAAAAAATTAAAAAGGAAAATATGAAATTTCTTAAAACACTGAAAAGGAAGACATAACACACTAAAGCTTATGGGATCCAGAAAAAACAGTACTAAAAGAAAAATTTATACTAAAAAATTCCTATAAAAAAGCAGAATGATTCAAAATAAACAACTTAGTGCTATGCCTTAGAATTGGGAAGCAGGAATAAACCAAACCCAAACTAGCAGAAGGAAAGAAATAATAATGATCAGAGCAGAAACAAAGAAAATACATACTTTGAAATAATAGAAAAGATCAACAAAATGATGAGCTGTGTAGTTTTTATTTTTCTTATTTCTTTATTTTTGGGGTACTAGAACTGGGTCTTGTACTTGGACCCAGGAGCTTGCCAGCCAGGTACTCTACCACTTGAGCCATATCTTCAGCCCCTTTTGCTTTGGTTGTTTTTGATACAGGGTCTCACTTTATGCCAGGCTGGCCTGAACCATCCTCCTCCTGTTTATGTCACACCCAGCTTTTATCAGTTTAGAAGGGGTCTCGTGAACTTTAGACTTGAACTTCTGTTATCCCCCGAGTAACTAGAATTGCAGGCTTGAGTCACTGAACCTAGGTTGAGGATGTTTTGGCTTTTGTTTTTATCTTGCTTTGTTTTTAACTTAAGCAAAATTAATGAACCCTTAGCTAGCCCTTATGAAAAAGAGAGAGGAAACACAAATAAAATCAGAGATGGAATAGGATGCATTCATTACAACTGACAATGCAGAAATGCAAAGAATGGTCAGAAATTATTACAAACAACTATATGCCAATGAATTTGATAATCTACCTAGAAGAGATAGGAGGATATCCTGAAATCATGCACCTTAACAATATTGACTCCTAAAGAAATAAAAACTGAGAAGATCAATGATGAGTGTCAGTATTGAGTCACTAATAAAAAAGAAAAGACCAGAACTAGAGGGTTTCACTGTTGAGTTCTACAAAACATTTAAAGAAGAGGAGGGAGTTTTTCTAACTCATTCTACAAAGTCAGCATTACCCTGATACCAAAACCAGAAAAAGACACAACAAAATAAGAAATATCAATATCTTTGATGAACATAAATGCAAAAAAAAAAATCTTCAAGAAAATACTAGTAAACTGAATCTGACAGCATAATACATAATATGGATATTTCTTAACATGGTCAAGAGAAATTCACCTCAGGTATGCAAGGATGGTTCAATATGTGCACATCAATAAACATGATACAACACCTCAACAAAATAAAGGACAAAACAGTATGATCAACTCAATAGATGAAAAGAAGGCATTTGGTAAAATTCAACATTATTTCATGATAAAAATACTGAACAATTTATAACAAGTCAACAACTTACATCACACAGAAGGCTTTTTCTGTAAGATCTGTAATAATACAAAGTTGTTCCTTTTCACCACTTTTATCCAGAATAATGTTGAAAGTAATAGCTAGAGTAATAAGGAAAGGAAAAAAATTTTCTGGCATCTAAATTAAAGAGGAAGAATTCAAATTGTCACTCTTTACAGATGACATAGTCTTACACATAGAAAACTCCAAAGCCTCCATCAAAAACAGTAGAACAAAAAATAAGAGGAATAGGTAAAGTAATTATTATCATTGGCTATTAATTAGAACAATGCTTATTTTAAAAAAGCTATTAGGATTATTAAACAAATTTGGCAAAGCAGCAGGATATAAAATAAAAACACAAAAAATTGCTTCACTATTCAGCAATAATGACATATCTTAATTAGAAATCAAGAAAGCAATCCTACTTAAAATACATACAAAAAATAAAATACCTAGAAATGCATTTAAACAATGAAGTGAACAGTCTCTACAATGGAGCTATAAAATATTGATGAAAGAAATTGAAAAGGACACAAATAAATAGAATGACACCCTGGGTTTATGGATTAGAAGAGTGAATATTGTTAAAATGTCCACACTACCTAAATTCAAGGCAATCTCAATTAAAATG